GGCCTGAAGAGGGCGGAGCATGGAGTCAAGCTGTGTGAAAATCTGTGTGTGTGTGTGTGTGTGTGTGTGTGTGTGTGTGTGTGTGTGTGTGTGTACTTGTTTCGGCTACAGAGTGAGGACTACTTGCAAATACAGTAGTTACTATCAAAGTTGGGTCTTTGATATAAAGTTAGGACCTCGTTCCAGTTCTCACTTTTTTTTCTTTTTTTGCAGCTCTACTGCACTTTACTAGTTTGGTTTAGAGGTATGGGGTGAATTAAGTTTTGGTTCAGGTTAGGGTTAGCTATAGATCAGTAATGGTTAGTTTTGGGGAAAATGTCTGGGTTAGGCATAAATGCAGCTACAAAAAATGAATGGAGGTAAATACAATGTCCTCAGTTTGATGCAAGTACAAGGATGTGTGAATGTGTGTGTGTGCATGCGTTGAGAAAGGGTGACAGAGGCAGTGATGCTAAGAATGGGCGCTGCACCCACTAAGTAAAGCATCCATTTTACTGAATAAAAAGTCACCTGATGACTAATGTCTTCTTTATGTTATAGTTCTTTCTTTGATTTTTAATTGTTTCATTTTAATAGTAAGCCATTTCATTATTAGAGTCAAGCTTTTCCAGGCTTATCTCTTCTAGAACGTAGTGTTGGATGCTGCCAGATTTAAATCACTGCAGCTCATACAAAATTATCTTTTTTTTTTCTTCCAGGGGAAAAAGGGAGACCCCGGCATGTCGCCTGGACCAGCACCTAAAGGAGAAAAAGTATTGCATCACTTCTTACTACATTAGTTGCAACAGTTTCTTGTTTCGGTATTTCCTTGCACATTTTGAATGATTGTGAAGTCTGAAAAATGTCCTTTGGCATTCTTGGTTTTGTTTTACAGGGAGACTCGGGAATCATCGGCCCCGTTGGACTGCCTGGCCAAGCAGGTCGAGAGGTAAAGCTGAACTCCCCAAAATATTGCCCTTAATGTGCACTTACCATCTAAGACTGTGATTATGCACATTTGTTTACTCCAAAAAGAGAGATGCTTGAGCTGTTTTTGGTCTTTTAGCTTTACCCTGACAAAGAAAAATTAAAAAAGGACAAATTAGGAAACATCGCAACGTAAACCACAATCACGTGTTTTGGTGCTTCTTAATAGTGGAGTAGTCTTTTTCCAAATAAAAGGCAACAAAGAGGAGCAGCTCTACTGCACGGACTTTATTACAGCTGAGCCATCTACCAAACAAAATACAGGATTTATTAGATGATATACAGCGGGTAGATGTGTATGTATTTTAGTAGAGGTGTAAAGCCAGAGTCACATTACCCTGTGTGTGTCAGGCTCCTGAAGGATTCCTACCTCAAGCTAAACATATGGCTTTTGTTAAGAGGCTGCTTTTCTTTGTGTGTTGTAAGTGTCCACTTTAATGTCTCTACCTCTCTCTCTCTCTCTCACACACACACACACACACACTCTCTCTCTCTCTCTCTCTCACACACACACACACACACACTCTCTCTCTCTCTCTCTCACTCACACACACACACACACACACACACACAC